AAGCACAGGTGCTTGTTGAAGGGCGACCTTTAAGTCGCGAAATGCTTTGTCTTGATCGTGCGACCACTCCCACCGCACTTCCTTTTAACGAGCTTCGTAAGGGGTAGTGCAATTTGTGCGAAAGCACAGATAAACCGTCGATAGTATCCAGCTAATCCAAGAAAGCTCATTAGTTCTTTCCGCGTGCTTGGTGCCTTCATCTGCTCAATAGCTGTTGTCTTCCGCTGATCCAGACTCAAGCCATTCTTTGAAATTGTATAGCCTAAAAACGCTACACTGTCCTTGCCAAAAGAGCACTTTCCCCGATGTGCGTAGAGCTTCTCTTGGCGCAGTACCTTAAACACTTCGCGCAGATGCCGAATGTGATCTGCGTTCGACTTGGAAAAGACGCAAATGTCGTCAAGGTATGCAACCACGAAGTCAAATTTATCGAAGAGGACCCGCATAAGTCGATACCAGACACCTGGCATTCCTGCCAAGCCCATAGGCGCAACACACCATTGGTATGTCTCCTTGTGAGTCCGAAAAGCCGTGTATTGACGACTGGGTTCGTTTACAAGCATCTGATGATATCCCTTGAGCCAAGTCTATCACGGTGTAAACAGTACAGCCTGTCATTTGATCAAAAAGCTCCTCAATGAGAGGCAGAGGAATTTTGGAATCTTGGTCTGACTATTCACGTATCGATAATCGATAACCCAGCGAATAGGTTGCGAGCAATTTCCCGACCGAAGCCACTCACCCCGGGTGGGAGCTTGTCCAGTAACATGGTTCTTTTTTGGTATACCAAAGACGTTGGAAACCCACGGTGAGTTTGAGACTTCTACCCAGCCTTTCTTAAGGTTCTCTGTCACGAAGGACTCGAGCGCTTCTTGCTCCGTCTTGGACAGACGAAAGGGGGCTCGAGAGCTGGGAATGGCATCCGGATTCATCTCTAGTTCAAACTGCACAGCACGTTTCGGCGGGAGACCATCAGGAAGCGTTTCAGGAAAGACATCGCTATAATTCAAAATAAGATCATAAACCCAAACAGGGATGATATCGCTTGTGGGAACAGGGGATACCTTTACCATGTAAATCTCGGCCTATTCGTCTCGTCTCACATACAATTGTCGCGAAGGTCCACTTCGTACAGGGCTTAGATTATACTGATCTGGATGGGCCAACCCGTTCTCGTTCATACCATCTGAGTTATCGTGAGCCTGTTGGTGTAGAATTTTACCGGAGATCCAGTCCACCTGCGGGGCGTACGTGCGAAACCACGGAAGCCCAAAAATGACGTCCTGATCAGCATCTAAGGGACTCTCCGTAAAAACCATGTGGGCAAATTCTATGTCACTCATCCGAACAGTTGCTTTAACTGTCGATAACTCGGCTGGCGGGGTTAGAGAGCCATCAAACCTCTTCAGCTGGCCCCGATGTTTACTGATGACTCGTGACGCAAGGCCTGGACGAATCACGTTGGTCGAAGCTCCACAATCCAATAAGATTGTCACTGGCACACCATCAACTAAACCGCGTTAACGCAGCAAAGTAGTCTGTTGATCGTCCAAGTGTACTATAACAGCGTTGATAGTGTATTGTTCGAACACGATCCCACTTTCATCTTCTTTTGCTTCTTGCACACTATCAATCATGCTGATTCTCACATTCGGTCGCGATGAGCTCTGATTTCGTGGCCTCGTCGGACATTCTGCGAGTCGATGTCCTGGCTGTTTACAATAGAAGCACAATTTGCGCTGGAAGCATTCCTCCTTAGACACCACTTGCACATTATCAATTTCCATAGGCTCTGGCCGGGCATCTTCGAAGCGCGGACGCGGCCTTATTTCTTGTCTTCGAAACGGCTGCGCGCGTCTGGCGGTCCCGACGCCAAAATGCGATCGCTCGAAGTCATAAGCAACATTGATCGCTTGACTTAAAGATGAGCATCGTCTATATTCGACTTCGGCGCGAGTTTGGTTCTTTAATCCCTGAGTAAAATAGAAAATGGAGTCGACATCACTCATATTTCGGACCTGAATCATCAGCTGTCGGAAGCGATTAACAAACTCCCCAAGGTCCCGGCATTGACCCTGATCCAGGTTTCGAAGCTGGTCACGGAGACGTATCTGAAGGTCTTCTGGTACGAACTCTTGCTCCAGATGAAAAAAGTTCATCCACAGTCGTGATCCTACTTCTGGACCAAACAAACCATTCCGCTGCAGTGCCTACGAGCATGCTACCAATGGTTGGAATGATTGTAGCTGCCATCGTCGCGCACTTCCAATTGACACGCCTCACGGTAAAGTACTGCTGTACTTGTTCTTTAAAAAGCGCAAACGATTCTTGTACTTGCCCTCCATACCGGGGAACCTTCACTGCGTCCAAACGTAAGTACTTAAGTGTTGTAGCTTCCGCAATCTTTCTCATCATTTCTTGTTGCTGCGACATCATCGCCAGCATGCTTTGCATGAGCTCAGCATTTGACGGCCCGCTCATGGCGTGCACAAAACTTGTCGCCCAGCTGTTTTGCAGTCAGATCGGGGTCGGGTCGGGTTCAGGGTTTGCGTGTCGGTCGGGTCTTCTGACCAACAAGTGCTACCAGATATGGTGCCTGGGATGCAATGCCTTGATGGAAAATACAAAAGTGATTGCATTAAGTCCTTAGTTCACACACAAGCTGCTACTTTAAGCCTTTTGGACTCCATGGAACTTCTTTCTCGATTTCAACTGGGACTAAACTCGATGGATTGCACAACGTGCTCTTATGCGGTCCGTCCGCGACTATTCTGGAGCGGGATTGTGCAACGTGCGCGTAGACGAAGTCAACCGCAATCATTCTGGAGCGGGATTGCACACCGTGTGCATAAACGACGTCAAAAGCCATTCTGAAACGAGCGCCTCCGCTACATCAGCCGTCGGTATAAATTTCGGTCTAGCCAGGATTTTTATCAAGAGTCTTACGGGTTCGAGTAGTGTCTCTGCGCAAAGTGAAAGCCAAACTTTCAAAACCTGCTTTTGTCTGTGGCTGTTGGTCTGGATAACGCTAGATGTACCTTACACATTGTACAAAGTGCGATACAGCGTGCTCTATCTTGTGTATGTGTCTGTACGTAACGCTAGGTGAACAGAAAACGTCGTTCTTAGTGCAACGAAGCCTTTCACCTCCTTGTAGGAAGATATGTATGTTAAATATCACTCTGTGGTTAAGTCCTTTGTTACTACAGTTCAGGTCAGAAGCATAGAACAGTCAGCTCCCTCTATAACATCCCGTGATATCGCATCCTCCCTCTATAAGATCGAAATTTTGGGTGAACAGAGACGATATAAAGGGAGCTGACTGTACATAGTAGGACTACACAGCTCTCAGTCAAGAAGGGCTTATAACTTCAAGAGTCAATTAGTTCTACGAAACTAAGTGCCTGTAACGGGGCACCCTTAGTCTGGATGCCACGAAACTCCACGTACACTTGTACGTGCAGAGGAAGCTATCTACTTGAACGACTCGATCAAGTGAGGTGAAAAGAGAACTGCATTTAATATAGTTAAGCTATCAATGTAACTTTAATCTTTACCTAACTACACTAATCTACATTGTCGTATGACGACAACCTGCTCACCACTCATTGCACGCGTCTAGCAGCGATTGGTGCTAATCTATGGTTAATACGTCTTTTTCAACCAATCTTGAAGCAGCGCATAAAAATCATCGAAAAAGGGGATAACACTCCTTAAATATTATCCATCTCGGATAATATTGGTAGGATATTGTCACGCTAGACAATTTCCCTATGGACACTATTTGGTGTCAATGTCAGGTAACGGGCCACCCCGTCACATCACCCCCCTACCATCAATTACCCGTTAATTGAATAGAGTTGATTGGGACAGGGTGGCCACCTTTGGATCACTCTGGGAAGAGGAGAACTTGTCGGTCAAGTTTTAACTCATTTGCCAATTCATCGCATGGTGTCAAAGTCTGTGCCATGTGCTGCCGAAACATCAAGAAAAGCGGTTGAACGCATGCGTGCAGCCGAAGAGGGTTCTTCACTTGCCTCAGCAGCAGGTGATCCTCCGCCTGATGCTGCGATTCAGCATCAGGCGGTGCCTATTGTGAGTAGTCCACGTGGTGATTCACCACGTGCGACAGGTACCCCGCTGCGTCTGCAGCGGGTGATGCAACTCGCAATGTAGATGAGCCTGAAATAGAGCTAATCTATTCTGGCGAGTAGGTTGATACATCTGGCTCGAAGGCGACACCTCACGACTCCGGACCACCCGGGGCGGACACTGCAAGAGCCGGGTTGACTGGCTCTGGGGAACGTGGCGGCACCATGTCCGAGATCTTCGAACCGGGCGATTCTTCGGACGATTTCTCGTCTTACGCAAGGCCACCCGACGATAGGACGCGTGGTGATGGTGGTGATGCCCCTATGCATCACCACGAGAGAAGAAACCCGAGGGATCGAGCTGCCACTGGTTTTAGTGCTCATGCTGACACAACACAAGAGTCCGGAGACCGAAATATCCTGCGTCACGCTCCTCAAGTGGAGTCTCCTTAGATGCCGTCATCTAAAGAGTTAGATAAAGTGGCCGGCATGACCACCGAACGGGATCGAATCCAGTTGTTCGACCGTAGGAGGATCTGTCCTCCTAATTTCAGCGCGGAAACTATCCTTTCTGCAGAAGAGTTCTTTACCGATACGTTTTTCAAGCATCGGCGATGCAATGGCAACCGTGGTCGAGACGGTATGGCCTTGTTGCAAAGATGGAATGCCTTTATCAACAACATCGAATGCATTGGCCGTGAGGCCTGGCTCGATGAAGCTTGCATCAGGTTTGAGAAACGCAACCCCGTCGGGGCGCTATACAAGTTGTACCGGCTTTCAAGAGAGACAGGATTATCCTGTCACTCGTGGGGTGATTCGTGTCCAAGTTATCCGGAAAGCTCGAATCGTGCCCCTAGGGAGGCACACCTTTCTAATGTTCCCTACTGAAAGGCGCGCATCTCTTTCGAGATGTCCGAAGGGATCGACACTTTGCAATCCCTGTACTCGCGTTCGGGGAGGTCGTTTTCCGACGGCCCTTCTTCAAACTCAGCGGGTGAATCTCGTCGTACTGCTCGACGAGACCAAGTACATCAACAATCAGATGGGCACGAGGCTCCAAGCTGTCCCACGCTGGTGTATAGCCACTCCAGCGGACGAGTTAACTCGTCCGGACGCCATTCACGTTGCGGTGGTTCAAAATACGCTCCACCAGAAATCGTTGACCACCGCCTGAGTCCACTAAAGGATGTGGTGGCGGTGGGAACACCTGATCCGACTCGAGGGTCGGATCAAGTTGACGTTCAAGAGCTGAACCGTCTAACGGAACAGTTGCAAGATGACCTGGCTCAAGAACGATCTCGGCGTTGTGGGCTTGAGGATCTTGTGAGGAATAAATACAATTCCTTAACGCAAAATCTTTCGGACGATCGTGCCGCGTTTGCGTTCGCGCAACTTGAGAAGGAACGTTCGACTCGTTTTCTTCGTGACGATCTGACTGCATCTCTTCAGGACATCGCTCATCTGCGTGAGCAGTTCGCTTCGCTAGACGACCAGAGTGGGTCGTTGAAACGTGACCACTCGAAGGTGGTCTCGGCTCTTGACCGCGGAGGTGTTCTTCGCCTTAAAAAATGGGCTCGTACTGATAGTACAGGCGGAGGTGACCGACGTAAAACTTAGGATGCTTACGCATCTTACGAGGCAGTTCACTCGTCTATGCGTTGCTCATACGACGCAACACGCAAAATTGACTGATACGATTGGGCAGTAATTTACTGCTGCCCACGTTTTTCACTGCTTGTTTTGGTAGATTTACTGTAGAAAGTAAAACTAGGTCTCCTTCATCAAACTAAAGAACATTTGCTCTTCCATGATTGTCTTCATTTTTCTCTTCTGTCTGTCTAGCGCATCTGCAATCGAGTCTTGAACAAAACGGACAACCGCTTCGCGAGTCAGCAGAAATTCTTTTGCTGCCTTATCCTTGTTAACGGCAGTGCGCTTTGTGTTTACTGGATGAAAGAACGTTGTCTTTACCAGTGAGGGCGTCATCGTCCTCACTTTGGCAGTCATTGAAGATGCTGAATTTACCAGCATCGTCGTCATCATCATCATTTATGTCGATGCGATCGACATCGGCATTCATCACGTCGACACCACTGTCGACGATTGATGAGCAAGAACCAGATCGGTTTTTGTTCGAGCGAATCGACCCCCCTTAAATTAGAGTCACGCTCTAGGAAGGAGGGTAAACGTGGATGGCCTACGCCATCCACGAAGAACGGTGTATGCGTTGTCGACGCGTGCACCGAGTTTCTGATGGCGAATTCCGCCATCGGCAAGAACTCACTTCAACTCGTAAACGAGTGGACATACCCTCGAAGTATCTCTTCGAGAACGCGGCTGACGCGTTCCATCTAACCATCTGTTTCTGAATGGTCATGCATTTACATCTTTGAACGTGTTCCAAGAGGAAGTAACACGGATTGCCAGAACTCCGCTGTGAAGCGGGGTCCCTATCGGACACGATTTCACGGGATAACACGTTCATTCGTGAGATAGTATCGATGAAGTCACGAGCACAGCCCTGGGCTGTAATTGACTCCGGTACAGCAACAAGATGTACCATCTTGCTGAATCGATCAGCAAACACAAGAATACCAGTATTTTTGTGAGCCTTTTTAGGAAACCCAAAGACGAAGTCCATCGATACGGACTGCCAGCACTCTGCCGGAATCGGTAGAGGCTGCAAGGGTGCACTGGATGAAGGACTACAGTTCACCCATCGGCAAACTTCGCAAGCACGGATGTACTTACGCACAAACTCATACTGTCGAGGCTATCTACCGTGAGGTAAGTCTATTCTGTATCGCAGTGCCTACTTGTCGGGCAATCGTGACTCTCATACATGATGCGCGATCGCAAATCGTTATGAGCGGGAACGACGAAACGAGGTGTGTCGCCGATGACCCTTTGTATAGTACAGCAGCCTATCACGAACCGAGTGCCGTTCGGTTGAAGCGCGGTATTGAGACCTTAAGCTTCTCAAAGCTTGACTGCATTAATTGGCTACATAAATCCATCAATCGCAGAAGAGACTCATCTTCTACGTATGCTTTCCGCACGTCGTCGAGCAGATTCGGCGACGGAACGCTCACTGTTAGTTTCGCTACAGTGGTATCACCCCTACTGTTGTGTTGAGCAGTCGGCTTGAAATCGTATCGACGCGAAAGAGCATCAGCAACGACATTAAGTCGTCCTGCTTTATACTCGACGGAGTAGTTGTACCCCGCGAATAAAGACAGCCACCTTGCCCATCGTCGCTAAAGGTGTGGACTGTTTACGTCCGTGCGTAACGACGCACGGTCGGTATAAACGATGAAGGGCCTATCTCCTGAGCGATATGCCCGAAACTTGGCCAGTGCATATTTCATGGCAAGGGGTTCCTAGTCATGCACCGGGTAATTACGCTCAGCTGCTTGCAGCTGACGCGATCGATAATAGATGACGCGCTTAACGCCGTCTGAGTCGTACTGCATTAACGCGCAGCCGATTGCAAAATCGCTGGCGTCACAGACCACATGAAATGGCCTGATCTGCAATCGCCAACACAGGCATTTGTACCAAGCTTTTCTTGATGCCTTCAAAAGAGTGCTGACACTAGCACCCCAAGACCACCTCTCGTTTTTCTTTAGAAGACGAGAGAGATGTACGGTCATCTCGGCATAGTTGCGAGAATTTGTGCAAGTACGCCGCTAAGCCAAGCAACTCTCAAATTCCTTGACGTCGACCGGCCCAGACCAGTCGATTATCGCCTTGATCTTTTCCGGTTCAGGAGTACGCCCTTTTAACTAACGATGCAGCCAAGAAGTGGTATTTCGTTCGCTGCGACTATAAACTTCTTGAGGTTCACGAACAACTTATGCTCTCGCATTATTGTAAAAAACCTCTGGACGTGGATTCTATGAACCTCCACGTCCGTCCTTCCACCCATAGCCCGGCTATGGACGAAGAAATTTTCAAAGTAACTTAGTGCGAAATCGTGCACCGATCGCAACAGATTCGTAACACATCTGATAAACGTTGCGGGGGCGTTACTTAGCCCCTGTGGCATCACTAGCCACTCCCAGAGCATACCACTGCGAAGCTCCTACTGCTGTGTACGGGATGTCCGTTCACGCATGAGGATCTGATAGAATCCATTCACCAACTCCTTAGATGAGAAGATTTCTTCTCTTTGCCATACCATCTATGATGACATCCTTTCTTGGTATTGCCGTCTGAGCCGGTACCGTTGCAGTGTTCAGTTGGTTGAACGCGTGCACTATCCGCCACCCTCCTGTTGCTTTTCGCACACAAAAGGTCGAAGAGCTGTGTGTGGATGTTGGATCCCTCACATGACCAGCCGCTAAGCGATCGGCAAAGAATTTGTCGATCGCTGTTACCTGTTCACGAGGCAGTGGCCATTGCTTCATGATACAGCATTTCGAACAAGGTTTCAGTTCGATCTCATGCCAAGTGTCTTTGTCCTTAGGCAGCTCGCATGGCACGGATTCCGGGAAAACATCCCTGAAATACACCCAATCCGCATTCAAGGATTTGTCTTTAAAGACTCCCAAGATTGAGACGTGTACGCTCATTCCGGGTCTTCTTATCGGGGACACTCTCGTCCATCGATGACCTACTGAGAAACCGTTCGTTCTTAGCAAACACTTGTGCCAACCGAATATCGGCGACGTCCTCGTCCTCTGTGACGAGTACGAAGATCTGCTCGATCTTGTCACTCCGCAGATCTCACAAGAACCTTTTAGATTCTAGCGTTGGCGACTTGGTTGCCTTCAAAGCTGACTTCGGAGGTATAACCAGATCAAGTGTTTAAGCGTCTACACTTGATTTGTCATTCACCAAGATATTCACTGACTCGGTTATTTCCTGGTAAAACACATCCGCATGTGATTGGGGATCCACACCCTTAACATAGCTCTCTCGAAGATCATCACTCTCAGGAACGCTGGAACTTTCTTCCAATACGTGTACTGACTGTGAGTGTACTACTTCAGTCACGTCCTCTTCAAACGACTCTCTTTCAGTCGATCGGGCCTGCTCTACAATCCACTCTCTGTTAGTCGATCTCGCTTCAGCATGTTGTTCATTCTGAACAACACTAATCTATCTTCTTGGATTAGCCCTTCTTGGCGTGTATCCGCCTTCCACTCCACTCGATCTCTTCGAGTGGTGAACCTTCGGCGCAGCCTGTGTCCCTATGCAGGTGCCGGAAGCTAACTCCACAGTGCAGTGGCCTTCTACACTGTGATCTTGTGCAGTCATAATAACGACCTTACCACAATTGAGTCCATAGCACTCACTCGTAGTACATCCACACGCTTGTGGACGCTCCAAGACGTTCATCAGATGGCCATCTGATGAACAAACGACAGGCATCTTCACGGATCGATGCTGCCAGCTAACCCAGGGCCGGTATTTCCTATGCCATGGAATACCGAGGACGACGTCAAATTGACATCCAAATTCAGTACGATGAAGCCATCATCTTACTACTTTCCTTAGAGCGTGTAGTGGATTCCTACTACACGTTTATTTACTGATACGGATGCGCCTGTAGCAAGGCACAACGTCATCCTGGTTGGAGGGAACTCTAGCTCAACATAGTTATGTCTACTATCTTATAGCAACTGGCATCAAATAAAACTGTTCGACGCCCCACAGTCAATTAGGGCACAAAGTGACATTCCACTTGTCACTTCGGTATTCATTGTGATGAGGGACCCCTCATCATTAAAGGCAGTAACACACAGCGACTGTGTGTTGGGAGCAATTTTCGTCAAGAGTCCTGAAATTCCTTGACGTTGCTGGATCAGCAAGGTGCTCCGCCTCTACTTACCCTGGCCAATTTTTGGCGGTCCGACTTGCTGTCGCGGCTCGGCAACATGGTCGGACCCAAGCCTTACACCCTTCCTTGGCCAACGGCGGTTATCACATCCTGTCTTTGGACGTGTCGCAGTGCTCGGGACAATACACTCATGAGCGGAGTGTCCAATCTTCTGACAGCGGTGGCATGCTGCCGTTCGCTTGTGATTCAGAGAGCGAGAGTTTTCGCTCTCGATTTAACAGAGGTCCACTGGTTCGGGACCTCCCGTTTTCTGTCGTCTCGTCGGACGATAGTTTGACGAGTTATCCGGAGACTGTCTCAGACTGGAGTCTTCTTGTTTCGCATACGCTATCGCCCTTTCCAGAGTATGGAAGTTCTCTTGGAGCATGTAGGTCTTGACCGGCCTATCTACAAGACAGTATGTGAATACTTTGATGAGCGTGTGCTCATTAAAAGGGTTCTCCGTAGCGCTACTTGAAAGGTAGCGCAGGTGTTGTGCGTAAGCGTGCACGTCACGCTTACCTTGCTTAAGATTCTATAGTGCATAGCTTGCTCTGGACTCGGCTTGTGGCAGCTCAAACGTCTCTTTAAGACGAGACTTCAAGATCTCTAACAACTCAAACACGTTTGGGTCGTGAAGCTTGAGCCCTGAGGCCCGAGTCTTTGCTCGTCCCGTCAAATTTGACAGGGCGAAGGTGAATTGCATCTCGTCACCCTCGATGTGACGGGCCCTGATGGCGTCGTCTAAATCGACGAACCATCTCAAAGGGAATCTTCTTCGGTTCCCTTGTAC